AATAATTTAGTATCAATTCCAAAATTAAAAAAAAATACCCTAATACAATAGCTTCAATCATTTTCTATTTACACAACATGCTAGGTCCATACACCAGAACACGACTATACATGAGAAGAGGGTTTCTGGGTTGTCAGGATGCTCAGCAGGTAGAGGTGCTTTCAGGTAGGCCTGACGGCCCAAGTTCAATCCCGAGCCACACATGGTCAAAGAAAGAACTATTTCCCACAAGCTGTCCTATGACTAACATGAATCGCCTGGCATACACATGCACACACAAACTAAATAAAAGTTAAAGAAAAAGGTTTGGAAGGAACATGTTTCTATCTTATAAAAACTAGAGGCATTTATTTCTAATTTAATGTAATAAAGCATTAAAATTAAGTTCACCTTTTTATCAAAAGATGTTCTGCAGGGCTGGGGAGACAGCGGCTCAGCCAACTGCTTGCTGCACAAGCAAGAGGACACGAGTCCGAAGCCCCAGAAACCAGGTGAAAATCAAGCATCATCCTGCGCAACTGTACTGGGGGATGCTGGGAGAATCCAGCTCTGACCAGCCAGCAGCCCTTACAGACTGCAATTTCAATGACAGACTCAACTAATGAGGAGAGAACTGTCCACAGGCCTCCACACGCACACACACACTCACAGGGCTCTACGATCAATCTACAGACGGGTTTTTGGTTTTCACAGTAACTGACATAAATTACTGAAAGAGTAATTCGACTATTAAAAAATGTTATGTTCAGTATATATTTAAAATGGCCATGTCAGTTTTGTTATATTACACAAATGTAACAACATTTAATGACAATATTGTACCATACTTCTGAAATTTCCTGGGGCTAAATAAAATTAACTTTTAGAATTAGGGTGAAAACCCTACTTAGGTGTTTTGTTTAAAAAAAAATAACTGTAGATGAAATCTCAGGGTCATTTTGATTTGCATCTCCCTGGTGGCTAAGGATGTTGAGCATCTCTTTAAGTGTTTCTCTGCCATTCTATATTCCTCTACAGAGAATTCTCTGTTTAGCTCCATACCCCATTTTTTTAATTGGATTGCTTGATTTATTGTTTTTTAACTTCTTTAGTTCTTTACATATTCTGGATATTAGCCCTCTGTCAGATATAGGGTTGGTGAAGATCCTTTCCCAGTCTGTAGGCTGTCATTTTGTTCTGATAACAGTGTCCTTTGCTTTACAGAAGCTTTTTAGTTTCATGAGGTCCCATTTATTGATTGTTGCTCTTAGAGCCTATGCTGTTGGTGTTCTGTTCATGAAGTTGTCTCCTGTGCCAGTGAGTTCTAGGCTCTTCTCCACTTTTTCTTCTAACAGGTTTAGTGTGTCTGGTTTTATGTTGAGGTCTGTGGTAGCTCAGTAACCAATTGGTTTCCCATAGTAAGGGGAACAGGGACTATTTCTGACAGGAACTCAATGGCAGGCTCTTTGACCTCCCCCACCCCCAAGGAAGGAGCAGCCCTGCTAGGCCACAGAGGAGGACTTTGCAGCCAGTCCTGAAGATACCTGATAAAAAAGGGTCAGATGAAAGGGGAGGAGGTCCTCCCCAATCAGTGGACTTGGAAAGGAGCAGGGAGGAGGTGAGGGAAGGGGGGAGGAACTGGGAGGGATGAGGGAACAGGATACAGCTGGGATACAGTTAATAAAATGTAACTAAAATAAAAATTTTAAAAAAAGAAAAAAGAAATAAAATAGAAGGTTCTATAAAAAATAACTAGAAATAATCACAGGTTATCTAGAACTTAATTAATAATATTTCCAAATATTAAAATGTCATGATTCCAATATATGATGCATAGGACCAGCATATATAAGTAAAGTGATCCATATCAGAGACTATAAACAGAAGGCTTGAAACAGCTGTAGGATCCTGCATTGATAGCATTTATCAATCTCAGATGAGGCTCAATTCCTTCAATGCTGGCCTAATGTTTTAATAGAGTCTTCAATCCTGAGCCAATGCGTAACTGAAAAAGACCGTTGCTATGCAAATTTCAGATAACTCTTCTACAGGATCACTATTCTATGATGAACCAATAAGTTTATAGCTGAGAAATTTATCAATTCATCAGTTTTATCAATCATTCTATAAGAATACTAGACATTTAGTTACTTTTTTTTCTCTTCGTATTGTTGACTCTATTATCAAAGTGTTTACAATTTATCAAAAGAAACAATAAAATGAATCCCTGCTCCAAAAACTCTGAAAAATAAATAGTACGTCGCACTAAATAGACCGTCGTTGAGTGATACACAAGAGGAACACAGTAATACTCCGACTAATGGAGTAAATACATGGACCAGACCCAAACAATAACTCTGGTTCAAGTAGAAGGATCCTCTATATAGAGGATTAGAATCTGAACACATATGACTGCCCGTTTAATATGCCATGGGGCAACCAAAGGGTTCAATTTTCATGGCATTATAAGCAGCATAATACTTAAAAAAAAGTGTGTTCAAAATCTTTGCCTCTTAGCAAAAACCTATTTTCTTAGGGATCATGTAAGTCAGGTTTTTAAATTAGTTATCAGAGTCAAAGTGTTGTCAGAGAGTTATACTCAAAGTTACATACCCACATAGTGGCACGGCAGGGGCCTAGTTTCCTAACTCCATGATCAGTGTGCTCACTCACTCGCTCCTGTTCTCTCTCTGTCCCTTGCGTGTGTGGTGCTTGCATGTACGTATAGGCATTTTTCATTTGTTTGTTTTTGTTTGGGTTTGTTTGTTGTGCGGCATGCGTGTGGGTGCTAGTGTGTGTGGGCAGGCGCAGGACTGAGGTTGGTATCAGGAATCATCCCCGATTGCTGTTCTACCTTACTCATTAAAACAGGGTCTCCCAATCAAATCCAGAGTTAGCTGGCAAAGTTGGTCTTGTTAGTCAGCTTGATCTGGGGACTCAGACACCACCTTCCAAGGCGGGAAACACAGGCTAACTGCTATGCCCGATCAGTGATGCATGGCTTCTGGGCATCAACTCTACATCTCAAGCTTGTACAGCAAGTACTTTGACCACGGAACCATCTCCCCAGCCCAAAATTCTTTTTGAAAAATTCTATGATCTAGCTTCATGTGCACAGACTACTCAAAAAGCATGTCATAAAACTTCCTATGACCAAAGAGGAAATCATCAGTATAATAGAAGTATCGAAAAATATTACCTTCTAACTTATAATCAACTATAATCAAAACACTAAGAAGACTATAGCCCAACAAAAGCAATTATCTGTGCCATGGTAAAGGTTTTATAGAATTAACTGCTGTGTCTATACATTACTATGTATTGAGCTCACCAGTAGAGAAGACAAAAAGAAATCAGTACAGTTTTGTTTTTTAATCACTAGAGGATAGAACAAGAAAGAGACACATAACTCTGTATTTTGGGAGTACTTTGTTAAATTTTTTTGTTCTTTCTATGGTCTTATTTGTTTTCTTTTTGGTAATGCTGGAAACTGAATCCAAGGCCTTGCACATGCTAGGCAACTGTCCCGCTACTAAGCTATATGGTTATCTCATTAAACTTTTTGTGCAAGTATGTATGGGTATGTGATATGTGTGTATATGTCTACACTTGTTGGTGTGTCTGAGTGTAGGCATATATATGCCATAGTGCACATGAGAAATTAAGAGGACAATGTCAGCACTCGGTCTTCAGGTCTTCACTTCTACCTTTTTGGCACAGGCTCCATATTTTCTGCAATGTACATCAGGCTAGCTGGTCTATGAGCTTCCAGGGATCCTGTTCTGCCTCTTATAGTCCCAGCAGAACACTAGCATTACAGCTACTGCATTATAATGCCAGGATTTCCCATGAAATCCTGTGGATTTGAGCACAGGTATTCATGCTTACACGGATAATGTTTTACCCACTGAGTCATCTCCCCAGCTCTCAAGTCTTTGTATATCTTGGACTTCCTATGCTGTCTGAATTGAGTGGGAAAAGACGGCTAATCCCAACTGACAATTAATCCTCTGTAAAACTGCTTCATGAAAGCAAGTGACTATGAGTCAGAGATAAAGTGTATTTGAAAATAATGTGAGCTATGTTTCCTTAACCAACTACTATTTAAAAAAGGATAAAAACTTCTGTACTATTAGTTTTGTGGCAATCCCTTGATGTTGTATTTATTAACAGAGAAGAGAGTAAATCTATGAAAATAAGTGTTTAGATAATAAAATATATAATCCTATCTAGTTTTCCAAAATTACAATGGATCATTGAAAGTAGAAGCTATTTCACTAAAAGTCATCTATATAGAATGATAGAAATATAGGAAAAATAAAATTATTTGTTACTAATAATTTACTAATAATTCCATATATTTCGACATTTTATCTACACATATTTTTACTTTTCATCATACTACACTTCAGGCAATACAGGAAAATTCCATAAAGAATTTTGTAACATACGTTTTCCTAGCAAAATCATTATAAAAATGTATCTATTTTTGATTGCCAAATATCTTTATATGCATTTCTATAAATATTATGCCACCAAAACTATACACTTAATAATTTTTTTTCTAGTCAAAGAGATCTCAATTAGCAAGTGGCTTTTCCTAAAACTTATGCACCTTTAAAAAAATCTGGTTCTCTGAGTTACTCCATTACCACAGAGAAGACTTAATTAAATTTTATGCAAACTGTGCAGCACAATGTGTCATATACAGTGCTCAATACATCAGAGTTATTACTAAACCTTCAACAGTTCACATCATTTCCTTAGAGGCCCAAAATAAAACTGTTCACCCAAACACACATGTACACATTCATCACACATACAACACACACACACACCACAAAACACATTAAGGATCTTGATGAACACCAACTCTATTTTTCTGAAGCAGCTGTATCACTGAATGTCTCTTCACCAGCCATGTTAAAATGAACAAATGGCTCAGAAAAGGACTGAGGACACACACAAAGCACAGCAATAATGTAAACACAGCACCAACAACATATTCAGCATGGACTTACCCTGCCTGAGGGGCTGCTATTGTTCTATGAGAAGGAGATAAGGTCTGAGCTTTGTTTCCCAAAGTATTGTTAACTGAAGATGCTTTACCCGAAGGCACACCTTATAATAAAAAGGCAAGAGTTTTAACAGACATCTGAAAGAAAATTCACATAACACAAGAGTCTATATAACAAGGAAAACAGCTCCTTAGTAACATCTTTGTGCCTCTAGTTACAAAATAATAATTTAAAACTATTAATGAGGAATGTGTCCACTTGCCATTTATCTCATTTCTGACACATAAAAACTTCCTACTTTAGTGGTGTCTTCTTGAAGCCATTAGTACTCGTCTTACAGGACAGCTTCAAGTTCACATACAAGAAATGAGTGAAAACACTGTGGACTATCAAGCAATCAAAAAAGGAATTTGGCTGTAAGATCTATTCAAAGTTATTTCCATTTTTTCCCGGAAATAATCACTAGGTTAAACTTCTTATCTGAACCTTTTAATAAACTAGAATACATCACTTTTGTCATTTCCTTATCAACTAACACAGCTCTCTTTGATTGTTTAATTTGCCATATGGATCTCATTACCTACAATAGTTTTGCTAGTAGTACTTGGTTGTGGTAGTCGGGAAGATCCTGATGATGTGGTTCCAGGAGAATTTGATTTTTTAAGTGGAGATGGCTTATACTAAAATAATGAAAATTAAAAAAAAATAACATCATTTTGTTATCAGGGGATACAAACCAGTATCAGCTCATAATCCCTAACATCAGGTTTTGTTTGTTTATATACAAGAAAAGGCTGTAGAGATAGATGTGAATGACAGTTATGCAGCACTGGGAATGAATTTAATAATACTGACATACACTTAAAACTGGTTAAGAAAAATGTTGCCATTTTTAAAATGAGACATAGTATAGAAAACAAAACAAATTTAGTTTTGACAAAAAAAGATTGCACAGACCAACTCTTCTATGAAACTATAAATATCAAGAAACTACAAAATGTTTACATGGAAAACATTTAAAAGCACTGAATGTTAGAGCAGGCAAAAAGAAATTGCCATGTTAACCCATCTGAGGCTGTAGCAACTGCCCACCAGCACATAGATCAGATTTTCAAATAAAAGTTAGTCAGCCAGACTGACACCAATGAACTTAATTTGATATGTCTCCAGATGAATAGTATCAAGGAATTAGAAAGGCAATGAAAACAAACAAAAAGAGTAGCACAGGAACATACATGTGTTTGTGTATATGGAAAAAAAATTTGAAAGACCTAAAACAATTTCCAACCCAGAGGGCTTACCAGACAGCATTTTAAAAACTGTGGGGGAGGGGAGACCAATTAGAGTCTAGTCTCTAGACTGGGAAAAACACATATATAAGTCAAAAAAAAGAAAGAAAATGTGAGCATAACCAAGACTCTTAAGCTGTAATGACTATTTTCTTATCAAACAAAATACACTTACAAATAATCAGAAACCATTGGAATTAAAGGACCAAAAAAGGCATTTATATTATGGATTTCAAAAGCAGACATTACTACAATTGAAGAAAATTTCTAAGTATGTGATATATGAATCAAAATAGCATGAGAGACAGAAAAATACTATAATCAAAACTAAAGATTTTAACAAATTTCCTTTTATAATTGGTGGGAGCATCAAAAGAAATGTCAATAAGAATCAGTACATTCAGTCTGGCTTTTATAAATCTCAACACACAACTGCAAAGATTTTATTCCAGATGTGATGCAGCATACACTAAAAGACCTCATGCATGGCAACAGAAAACACTTGAGAAAAATATATTTTACTGTTATGAATCATAAACATAAAAACATCAGTGTCAAAAAGGCACATTCTCATTAATTTGTAGAAATAATTTAAACTGTGCATTTCACCTGAGGCCGAGAAGCTGGCTTTCCTTTGGAATCAGTAGAATACTTGCCCTTATTACTAATCCGTGCTGCCTGTTCTTTACAAAAATTTATATGTCTGTCTGCTGCATTTTCATTGAATCTCCTCTGGCAATATGGACACTGAATGTAATCTAAAGCATAATCAAAGCAGAAACAAATCAGTACCAGAACACCTGAAGGGACAGGAAGAATTTCTATGATTAGGAGTTCAAGATGAGTAATAAAATAACGGCATGTGATAAGCAGGATTCACATTCCCATATACTATACAACTTGGCTGGCCTAAATTTACTAAGGCTTTTTAAGAAAAAGTACAAGAAATAAGTATCTCCTACATTTGAATTAATCTGAGAAAAAAATGAAGAAAAAAGAGTAAAAATAAAGTATCAGTAGAAAGTAAAAAGTAAAATGTTTCATCATGCACATAAACTTTATATGGTACCTAACACTTTAAAATATAAACCGATGTACAGATTAAATTATAAAATATTTTTTAGAAATAAAATCAAGAAATAGGTACACAGACTGACAAGAAATTTATATTCTAAAAGGAGGTCCCACGAAATGGAAGAAGTAATTTAGAAATCAAACCATCACTGACAAAATTCAAATTTCAGAAAAATCCCTAAAAATGGAACAGTCCAAACTATCCAACAACAAATTGTATGGCAAGTACCAAAGCTTAATGGAGTCCCACAAGCCACACTGCCCTGAGGAGCTGGCACTCCTTCTTTACCTGCATGGAGTGCAGCTAAGAAGCTAAGATGTACTATGGAAATGTCTCTTTCTTTGTTGTTGTTGCTGCTGTCGTTTATATACGGATATAACTATCCATTCACTGACACATTATACGGGCTTCTAACAAGACAGAGCTAAGTAATACCCTTACCAACATCCATACCTAAATATCTTACAACTTGGCCTTTCACTGAAATAGCTAGCAGTGTCTCCTCTAGAATGAAATGTTTAACATAATCAAGTCTAGGTTTGCTAAAGAACGTTCTCTTTCCTAGGAAGTAACCTCCAGTCTAGAGCTGCAATTCAATCTTAATGTGAGTGACGGTTTACATTAAAAGCATGGCCTGTAAAGGATGTTCTAATAGCCAACGGAAAAATGGCGATTTACCGCTTTAAATCTATCGCAATCTCCCATGTGGATGTGCTGTAACCTTTTTACTTTCATAATAAGTAACAGTACAACTTCTAGTTTCCCAGTAAAAACTGAAAGAATACATTGTTTTGAAAATATAATTTAGGTAATTGTTTTACACCAGAGGTTCTGCATTCATTATATATTTTAGAACTATAACTTTTTTATCAGGCAAAATACTAAAGAACCAGGAAACATAAGCATTCAAATCCTAATGAATGTGTAATGAGTATAGTTGACTTTCTATATATCTATCTTTTATAATTACAATTTTTAAGACATAAAGTGTATGTTTAAATAATAGCATTCTGATGATAAGTAGTGCGTTTTTATGCTCTGAAAGGATGTATCTTTACATCTAGATTCCTGAAATAAAGTGATTATTTAAAAGTACTTAAGGATTATTTGTCACTAGGTTTAATGATAAAAATTATTTTATACCAACTTAAATGACAAATTCTATCATCTTTGCCCACATGAACATTTGTCCATAATGCTCTACATACCAGGGTCATAGGAAGGGGGAGGAGGTGGAGGAAGTTTACCACCCTCTTTAAGGGCCTGATCAAGGCCTTTTGCTGCTCTTATGGTGGCAATGAATTCCTCATGCTTTCTTCTCCAATTAGATGGTTTCTTTGGTGGTTCTGGCTAAAAAATATGAAAAAGCAACATCAAAATATATTTTCAGTAGACTGAAATAAAAGTTCTGGTTAAGCTGTATTATTTCAAATGTTCTCTTAGCAGGAATCCATTCGTGATCTTTCCCAAATTAAAAACCTGCAGTCACACTATACACAACTTTTAAATATAATTCTACTTGAGGCAGATGCTGTTAAAAGTGTCCTCTACAGGTGTTCAACCGTATTTGTGCTTGTATTCTAAATCTCTCTTTTTTGATCCTTTATACAATAAAAATGTACCAAATCTGAGTGGTTTTAACTAGTTTTAGAAGTAGAAAACAGTTCTCTGGATTTCATTAGAGTTTCTTTTATGAGTGAGACTGAGTATGTTTTCATCATCTCACTGAGTCATTTGTATTTATTTTATAAACGGTTCATATTCGTAGTCAACTTCTTTTCCTGGTTTTTAGCTTTTTAGCAATAATTCTTACTAGATATAGAGGAAATTATCCTTTTCCTCCAATTCCTGTGGACCTAGAGGTTCTTTGATATGCAGAATCATTTTAAAACTATTAGTTAATTTACTATTTTCTGTTGGCTTTTGACTTTGTTTTTTGAACTTTATTTTCATATTCATTGTGTATTTCATTCATTCTTGTATATAGAATGACATAAGAGTCCAGCTGTCTATTTATTAAAATGGTCATGCCATGATTTCTGTATCCTTTAACTGCCTACCCCACACTACCCCAATATTGAGATAAAATATTCACCATAAACTAAACACACCAGTGTAAGTCTATTCCTGATTTTCCCCCTTTCATTATATTGCTTGATGATTCTTGTGCTAGAACTAGGATTGTAAATACTGAAACTTTATGGCATATCTGACATTTGACAGTAGTTTTAATTCATGGTCATTTTTCAATCTTTTCCTTATTATATGTATGCTTTTCTATATCATTTTTGACAACTGGCTTGTCATTTAAAATTATTTTAACTAGTAAAATGAATTTTATTCATAAATAATTTAGGGAACTTAATCTTTATTATGCTGAACTGACCTATATAAGAACATGTTCTGTGTATCTCAATTGGAAAAGTATTCATTTGCATCTTTTTGTATTTCATGTATTCTGCATAAAAAGCTTGCTCTTTTACTATAAAATGTATTACTAAATAATCTTATACCGGGTATTGTTCTTGTATATAAGATTTTTCATGATTTGTTTTAAAAGATTATTTATTAACTAATAATAATTAGTGATAAATTACCTAGTAATTTTGTACATTTTCTTTTTATCTTATTGTCTTACTGTCTACAGTAATTTTGCAGTCGATTCCTTTGAATTTTCTAGGCATGTCATAATTCCCAATGTGTACATAGCTTCATTTTATTTCTTTAACCCTATCAGCTGGCATCTCATGCATTGGTTGTAAATGAATCCAGCTCCTGACTGGTAATTCTACCGCCTCCAATATCTTCCCACTAAACATGATACTGACTTAATTAGCCCAACTATCAAGAATATGCATTCAATCAAAGTCAAAAGATATTTATGTAAAACTACAAATGCCAAACTAAACAATAAAAATTAAAACCCTAACTCCCAGTCCTAGCTTTGGTCAAGTCGCCTGTGTGCAGGTCTACACTGGTAAGTGTAGCTCTTACCCCTCATCCAAGAAACTTCTTTCTATGACAGACGGAGACTTTTACAGAGGTTCATAACTGCAGAGACTATGACTATGTGGGCCAGGCCCACATGATACAAGTGTAAAGCAACCCGCTACACCTAAGACTCAAGGGAAATCACAGGAAAGATTGTAAGAGCCAGAGGAACAGGACACCTGGTGCAATATAAGTGCCCTCTAGGCATGACAGGAAGACTGCATCCATGAAATCTAAACAAGATGCTTGTCTCAGAAAGCTAGCATAATGACAGCAGCTGCCATATCAAGGTATATGGGGAAAATCCCTGTGTTATGAGCTACCGGTGGTCCATGGCCACTGGAGAGGAAGAATAACTTTTCTCTAGGGACAAGATCCTGCACAGGCTGTCTAACCCCAGGAAGTCGGCCCTGGGCACATGTATCTGTAAACAATGCTAAATAAACTAAGTAGGCTGTACATACACACGTGTGCTAGAGTGTGCGCAGAGTAATTAAAGAAGGCGTCATGATTTTGGAAGTTGGTGCATGGGAGGGGCTGCAGAAGGAAAGGTGATCCAGCAGGGCTGTGTGTACAGTACTGATGTAGGAAGTTCTCAAAATCATCTATGAATTTAAAAGGTCACGACTATGATACATGGTTACGTGAAAAGATTCTAAATTGCCAAGATAATTGATGATTAAATAGAATAGAAAATATCTTTAAAACAAAACATAACAAAACAGCAATCAGGAAGAAGTCACAAGACTTCTTAAAAAGTGGATTTGTTTGTTTTAAAAAGTGGATTTATTGTTAAGAATTTCCCTCCAAAAATTTCCCAGGCCCACAGGCCTATACTACTGAGTGCTATACTGCTTTTATAGTATAAAAACAAAGCAATATTCCCCCAAAATTTATGAGAGCAACAAAAATTTTTGAAAAGAAAAAACATAAATCTACTTCACTCATGGATATACAATACAAAACTTTTACATTAAGAAGTTCTTCCTTTACAGCTAAATAGTGATATTTATCTGCTCTGGAGTATTAGTCATCTAATGTCAAGGAATGCTGGGCTTTTCTACTTGGTTTTGTTAGACAGATCTTTGTATCAATGAGAGCTAACAGCCTTTTTATTATTCATCACTGAATGTGTGGCTTTTCCTGGTGTGTTGGAACATGGTCCAAGATTGAAATTTCTGAAAACTTGTAAGAAAACTCCAAGTAAACAAGACAATGAGTCCTATAATCTCTGTTCCTCATAATGTTGGTTGTTCTTGGAATGTGCTTTCCTGCCCCTCCCAGATGTAACAATAGAAATGAATTTTACTTTAGATTACCCGTTAGCTTATCCATTATTATTTACATGATGTTTCCAAGCACGGGTTGCCTTCCTGACTCTGTACAGCCTCAACTAACAGGACCTTGCCCTTGTGACAATATACAACTTGAACTTTTCTTTGATTTTACCAAAACTTCAATTTGTCCTATTGTTTAGGTACTTGTGATTTTGTTGGGAGTTCCTTGATAAAAATAAACACATTAAGAAGTACACTACAATTTTAAAATCTTCAAATTGCTTTCTAAATTTTAAAATGTATGTGACTCACCCAAGGCAGATTTTAATTCAGTGTGTATCTGTGTATATACAAGACCCCTGATTCTAACAAGTTCTCAAATAATCCTGCTATTCACTGGATTACACTTTAGAGAGAAGCAAGGCAATAAACAGTATAGTTTTGTTTTGTTTTGTTTTTGCTTTTATTCTTAAATAATTAAGATTAAAAAAAAAAAAGAGTAACTCTTGACACAGGCTTGTGTAATCTCCACAATAACCCTACCCTGAAGGTAGTCAAATACTACCTTCAGCAGCAGTGCTCAGGTAAGCAGAAGCATACATAGGTTAACTGGCCTTTTAGGCATAAGGTTATTGTGCAATTCAAATGCTGATTTCTGTACCCTCTCTATATCTGGTTGCAACCCTGTTCTAAGAATCTCTTCTCTCAATATTGGGTAAACACTGCTCCCCAATTGCTCCTGATGCACCAATAAAGCAGCTGACATACAATCACTGAGCAGGGAGAGAACAAGGCTGGACTTTCTGCCAGCCAGGGCAGGAGGAGTTAGAAGAGGAAGTAGGAGATTCAGTTATGGGAGAGGTCCAAGAGACATGAAAAGGAGCTGGAGAAGGAAAACTATCAAGTGCAAGTATTTCTGAGATGTACGCTGGGAGGAAGCCAAATTAGGTTAGAGGGTTAAGAATAAATTAATAACTGTTCCATTACTTATTATTAAACTGCTCCATTACTACTACTACTACTACTTATTATTATTATTATTTTCTGTATAATTTTACACTTTCATTACCAATAACATTTCTATTCATTCATCTGTTTTTAATTAAAGTAAAATTTATGTTTCTGATGATGCTTATTCTGAACACATAACAGAATTTTGCTTAATCTACCCAGAATAAAACTCACTATAATTTTATCACTAGGTGATATAAAAATATATAGTGTTCAAAAGCTTATAGTTACCCTGGGTTTAAGAGGTTTAACTGTGGGAATATCAGTTCCTTCAGCTCTTTGCCTGCTTGAATCAAAAGTCTTCCGTTTTTTAGTGGCAGTTTTCTGGCAAATGGGTCCATGTTTTTTCTGTTAAAATGAAGAAATGTACCATAATATTTTCTTTGCTACAGTAAAGAAGACTGCAAAACTAAAAATTCAGTTCAGCTTAAACACCATAACAAAAAACCCAGAGGAAAAAAGTTACATCTTTCCTTAATTGGATTAAGCTTTAAAACACACACACACACACACACACACACACACACACACACACACACACACACA